GACTGCACTGCCCCGCTATCCCACACTGTCCCGGGACTGCACTCCCCCCTAACGCGCTCTGCCCACTGCCCTGGGAGCCACAGAGAAGGTGCAGAGACAGAGAGAGATCAGAATTAACATTTGAGAGATGTGTCCATAAACCTGATACCAGTGGGGAAGAAGCTGGTCTTCAATCTGTCTGTACGAGATTTCAAACGTTTGTACCTTCTGCCCGATGGAAGAGTTTGGAAGAGATTATAACTGGGGTGGGGGAGGGGTCTGTGATGATGTTGGCTGCCTTCCCGAGGCAGGGGGAAGTGTAGATGGACTCAATGGATGGACCTCTCTGTCTCCATCTCTGGCAACCACCTGGAAACCCATATCCATTTCAAGCCCACCGACTCCCACAGCTACCTAGAATACACCTCCTCCCACCCACCTTCCTGCAAAAATGCCATCCCCTATTCCCAAATCCTTCGCCTCCGCCGCATCTGCTCCCAGGATGAGGCATTCCACTCCCAGACATCCCAGATGTTGTCGCTTTTCAAGGACCACAACTTCTCCCCTCAGTGGTCGAAAACACCCTCAACCGCATCTCTCGCGTTTCCTGCACCTCATCCCTCACACCCCGTCCCCGCAATAACAACCAAAACAGAATCCCCCTCGTCCTCACGTACCACCCCATCAACCTCCGGATCCAACGCATCATCCTCCGACACTTCCGCCATCTGCAATCCAACCCCACCACCAAGGATATATTTCCCTCCCCACCCTTATCTGCTTTCCGTAGGGACCGCTCTCTCCGCGACTCCCTTGTCCGCTCCACACTCCCCTCCAGCTCCACCACACCCGGCACTTTTCCCTGCAACCGCAGGAAGTGCTACACCTGCCCCCATACCTCCTCCCTCACCCCCATCCCAGGCCCCAAGAAGACTTTCCACATCAAGCAGATGTTCACCTGCACATCTGCCAATGTGGTATACTGCATCCGCTGTTCCCGCTATGGCCTCCTCTACATCGGGGAAACCAAGCGGAGGCTCGGGGACCGCTTTGTAGAACACCTACGCTCGGTTCGCGACAAATGACATCACCTCCCAGTCGTGAACCATTTCAACTCCCCTTCCCATTCCCCAGACGACATGTCCATCCTGGGCCTCCTCCAGTGTCACAACGATGCCACCTGCAAACTGGAGGAGCAGCATCTCATATTCCGCCTTGGGAGCCTACAGACCGATGGTCTCAATGTGGACTTTACTAGTTTCAAAGTCTCCCCACCCCCGACCTCATCCCACGACCAACCCTCCCTCTCATCCCCGCCTCCTTGACCTGTCTGTCTTCTCTCCCACCTAACCGCTGCTCCCACCTCACTGAACCCGCCGCCACTCCCTACCTGCACTCACCTATCACCACCCCACCTACCTTCCCCAGCTCAAACCCCTTCTCTCTCTATTTATTTCGGAGCCCCCTTCCCCTCCCCCATTTCTGAAGAAGGGTCCAGACCCGAAACGTCAACTTTCCTGCTCCTCTGATGCTGCCTGGCCTGTTTGCTCCTCAATAGTGAAACAAATGGGCCGACACCTGAGCAGTGATCAGACCTCGCTGGGTCAGTGGGAACGTGGTCAAAATAAACATCAGAATAATTCTTTAACCTGTCAAGACAACAGAAATTCCACTTACATCCACAATGAATAACCCATTCACCACTGAACTTCTAGAAATCATTGCATAACTGGAGAGAATAAGCCATGTTCTCGTAGACTAAAAGAATATCGACACTATCACAGAATGCTTTTCATTTCTCGGTGAATTAATTCTCATTTCCTGGAGCTACAAGACCTGCCTGTACATTAGAACATAGAACAGTACAGCACAGTACAGGTCCTTCGGCCCACGATGTTGTGCCAACCTATTATCCTACTCTAAGATCAATCTACCCTGCATACCCTACATTTTACCATTCTCCATGTGCCTATCCAAGAGTTGATTAGATGTCCCTAATGTATCTGACTCTATTACCACTGCTGGCAGCGTATTCCACACGCCCATCACTCTCTGTGTGAAGAGCCTACCTCTGACATCTCCCCTATACTTTCCTCCAATCACCTTAAAGTTATGCCCCCTCATAATAGTCATTTCCGCCCTGGAAAAAGTCTCTGGCTATTCACTCTATCTATGCCTCTCCTCATCTTGTGCACCTCTATCAAGTCACCTCTCATCCTTCTTTGCTCCAATGAAAAAAGCCCTAGCTCCCTCAACCTTTCCTCATAAGACCTGCCCTCAAGTCCAGGCAGCATCCTGGTAAATCTCCTCTGCACCCTCTCTAAAGCTTCCACATCTTTCCTATAATGAGGCAACCAGAACTGAACATAATATTTCAAGTGTGGTCTAACCAGAGTTTTATAGAGCTGCAGCATAACCTCATGGCTCTTAAACTCAATCCCCCTGCCAATGAAAGCCAACACGCCAAACGCCTTCTTTACAACCCTATCAACTTGGGTGGCAACTTTGAGGGATCTATGGACGTGGGCCCCAAGATCCCTCTGTTCCTCCAAACTGCCAAGAATCCTGCCATTAACCCTGTATTCTGCATTCAAATTCGACCTTCCAAAATGAATCACTTCACACTTTGTTCAAAACTCCAGAGAGTATCGGCTTAAACCACTCAAGCTCTTCATAAGACAAACGCCAACATCTCTGGAATCAACTGAGTGAACATTCTCTGATGTGCGTCCAATTCAATTACATATCTCCTCAAGTAAGGAGACCAAAATTTTAATCAATACCCCAGATATGGACTCATTAATGCCTTGTATAGTTGTAACAACACTTCCCTACATCTATACTCCATTCCTTTAGCAATAATGACCAAACTTTCATTTTCTCCCCTTATTAACTGCCAGACCTACCTACTAGTTTTTTGTGGTTCACATGCAAGAGGACCCAGATCCCTCTGCCATCCAACATTTCTCTCCATTTCAATAAGAAGATGGCGACATCTGAATTCAATATTATTAAAGTGGAGAGGGTCCAGAAGAGATTTACCAGGATGTTGCCGGGAATGGAGGGTTTGAGTTATAAGGAGAGGCTAAGATTGTTTTCACTGGAATATAGGAGGTTGAGAGATGACCTTATAGAGGTTTATAAAATCATGAGGAGTATAGATAAGGTAGATAGCTAGCAGCTTTTCCCCCAGGGTAGGGGAGTCTAAAACTAGAGGGTATAGGTTTCAGGTGAGAGGGGAGAGATACAAAAGGGTCCAGAGGAGCAATGTTTCTCACGCATCGGGTGGTGAGTGTCTGGGACGGGTTGCGAGATACTGGTGGAGGGGAGTACAGTTTTGTTATTATTAGGAAACATTTGGACATGTACATGGATGGGATAGGGATGGAGGGATATGGACTAAACACAGGTAAATGGAGATAGCATAGGAAGTTGAGGAGTGACCTTATAAAGGTTTATAAAATCATGAGTGGTACGGATAACGTGAATGACAGGTTTATTTTTTCTAGGGTGGGGGGATTTCAAGACTAGGGAGCCTATTTTTAAGGTGAGAGGGGAAAGTTTTAGAAAAGACATGGGGACAATTTTTTACACAGAGGGTGGTTCGTGTGTGGAATGAATCTCCAGAGGAAGTGGTGGATGTGGGTACAGTTACAACGTTTAAAAGACATTTGGATAAGTACATGAGAGGGAAATGTTTGCGGGAATTTGGGCCAGGAGCAGGCAGATGGGACTAGTTTAGTTTGGGGTTATGGTCGGCACGGACTGGTGGGACCGAAGGGTCTATTTCCATGCTGTAGGCCTGTATAATAAAAAAATCTGGAATAAGTGAGCTGAACTAATAACGTACCATGAAATTGCTAACACTTGTTGTAAAAAACATACCTGGTTCACTTTGAGGGAGGGAAATGCATATGAGTCTAGAGCCCACAGCAATGGGTTGACCCGTAACTGTCCTCTGAGCGATTAGGGATGGGGCTAAAAACACGATTGGAGTTTAAATTTGGACTTTATTGCCACGTGTACTCAAGGACAAGAGAACTGTGATGTTTCCAAGTTTCCAACGTCACCACACACAACACCATTTATAGGCGAAGGACAGAAGCATCAGAGCAAGATTGAGAGAAAAGAGGAACAAAGTTGAAAGTTGAACCACTACAGTCCTTCTCAGTGTTAAGGCAAAAAAAAACTAACGTTAAAAGTTCAGCGGTCAGGACCATTTAGGAAGGAGATGAGGAGACATTTCTTCACCCAAAGAGTGGTGAGCCTGTGGAATTCATTACCGCAGGAAGTCATTGATGCCAAGAGGCAACTAGATTGGGGCATATGGGGTCAAAGGTTACAGGGATTAGGCTATTGAGTTGGACGATCAGCCATGATCGTGAAGAATGGCGGAGCAGGCTTGAAGGGCCGAAAGGCCTCCTCCTGCTCCTATCTCCTATGTTTCTATGTTAGTCTCTCTCAAGTGCTCAGTCATGTTGGGCCCACACTGCTGACAAGGGCTTAACCTCTTTGGCCCACTCGCCCCTCACTGGCTCGATCTCTCCCGCTCTCGCCATTGCAGGGGGTGGCCGGGGGGTTTGGGGGGGGGGGTTGGGGGGGGAGCAGGACTTCCATCGCCGCATTGGCCTCGCTCTCAGGGTCTCAGACCACCAATATGATGGTAACTATCCACCTCTGTTCTTGTTTTGACAGTGGGACCTGGTCTGCAACTGGAAATCCCTGAAACGGATCACGCAGTCGATCTACATGGCTGGATTGCTGGTGGGAGCCATAGTGCTGGGCAGGCTTTCCGACAAGTAAGAGAGGCGGGAATGTTGCGATGCCAAGTGTTATGTCAACTTGGTGGGTTTTTTTTTAGCTGCTGACTGGTTCTATAACCCTCAATAATGTCAACCCTTAACGCTCCAGTGAAAAAACTCCCAGCCTATTCCTTATAACTCAAACCTTCCATATGCGGCAACATCCTGGTAAATCTCTTCTGCACCCTCTCCAGTTTAATAATATCCTTCCTATAACAGGGGGACCAGAACTGGACACAGTGCTCCAGAAGAGGCCTCACCAACGTCCTGTATAACCTCAACATGAAGTCCCAACTCCTCTACTCTGACCAATGAAGGCAAGCGTGCTAAACGCCTTCTTAACCACCCTGTCTACCTGTAACGTAAACTTCAAAAGAATTATGGACCTGAATCCCTCGGTCTCTCTGTTCTACGACACTACCCAAGGCCCTACCATTAATCGGATAAGTGTGCTAAATGCTGAGCTGTAGAGGTCCAACCGTCAGATCTGCCACTCAATGTAGCATCAGCTGTGACTATTTGTGGAAAGGGAAGGATATTCGGCTGGTTAAAGAGTGGCCTGGGAAGGAGAACATCAGTCAGGCTCCTTGCTCCAGATTGACATACAGTTACCACCTGCCCCGCCACCCCCCCCCACCACTGTTAATGGACAGGATTGCATCCACGAACATTGAGCAGGAATAGAGGTGGCGATGGGAAACGTGAGGAAAAATATCCGGTCTCCATTCACTGCCCCATGTTGTGCAACAGAATGGCCTGTGGGGTGATCTAGCCCTGCGCAGAGTTAACGCCTTTGAGTGAAGTGTGAGGGAGGGGTTGTAAGGAGACAACGAAACAAGCCCCTTTCCCCAGTGGGGGTGGCTCAGTGGTTAGCAGAATCATAGAATCCCTACAGGCCCTTGGGCCCAAGCAGTCCACACTGACCCTCAAAGCATCCCACCCAGACCCACCCCGCTATAACCCAGCTAATCTACACATCCCTGAACACTATGGGCAATGTAGCGTGGCCAATCCACCCTACCCTGCACATCTTTGGACTGCTGCCTCACAACACCAGGGACCTGGTTCCTGTGTAGGGTGACTATGCGTGTGCGTGTGTCTGTGTGGAGTTTGCACATTCTCTCTGTGTCTCTGTGGGTTTCCTCCCGCAGTCCAAAGATGTGCAGCATAGGATGGATTGTCCAGGCTAGGTAGGTTGGCCATGAGAAATTGTTTTTAAAAATTTCACTCATGGGATGAGGGCATCGCTGACCAGGCAGCATTTATTGCCCATCGGGCACTTCAGAGTGAACCACATTGCTGTGAGTCTGGAGTCACGTGTAGGCCCGGACCAGGTAAGGATGGCAGTTTCCTTCCCTAAAGGACATTTGTGAGCCAGATGGGTTTTTCCTGACAATTGGCAACAGACTCATCGTCGTCGTCATTAGATCCTTAATTCCAGATATTTTATTGAATGCAAATTCCACCATCTGCCGGGGTGGGATTCGAACGCAGGTCCCCAGAACGTTATCTGGGTCTCTGGGTTAACAGTCCAGCGATAATGCCACTAGGCCTTCGCCTCCCTGTCAGGGTTATAGTGGTGGGGGGGGGGTGGAGGGGGTGAGTCTGTCTGTGGTGGGGTCAGTGTGGACACGATGGGCCGAATGGCCTGCTTCCACACCGTAGGGTTTCCATGATATCGCTGCAGTAGCTGAGTGTTGGCTCACAGGTTGGAGAGAGCAAGTATTTAAATCTAGACAAGCCATAAAAGTTATGCACAACATCAATTAAACGCTGAAACCCAGTGAGTTCCAAACATTGACCATATCATCAGACAGGTGAATGACTAACTCAGACTATGTTGTAACTCTTAAACGTGTCATTTTTTTTTTATAACTTTGAGTTAATGTTTACCCTGTGTTTGTTACAGGTTCGGGCGGCGCTCTCTACTGCTGTGGTCCCATTTCCAGTTAGCCGTGTCTGGGATGTGCGGAGCTTTCTCTTCCTCCTATTCCTTATTCTGCTTCTGGAGGTTTTTGTGTGGACTAGCACTGTCTGGGATCATACTCAATGCTTTCTCCCTCAGTAAGTGAAATGACGTACACATTTATCAAGTAAAGACCATTCCAACAGGACCGAATCTGCTCATCTACCTTTGATATTCAATTGCATGGCCATTTTTGAATCTCCTCAAGCATTACCATTGATCTGGAACCTAATCAAACTGACTATTGAGGGCTCTTGTGGCACAGTGGTAGCATCCATCCCTCTAGACCAGAAAACTGGGTTCAAATCTTACCAGCTCTACAAGTATGTTACCTAGACAGATCGATTGAAAATAACTACAGCTGCTACTATGAATGCTTCAAGACCGTGCAAGAGACTAGGAATTATGTAGCACGTAGCTCCCCTCTAATTCCCCAAAAACCCTGTCCATAACTCAGAACTGTTATAGAATATTTAAGCCTCAACAATTCTCAGCGCCAACCAAGAGAATCAGATTAAGGCTTGTGCTGGACATTATTAGCTTTATTCTTAAAGTAAGGTGCCCAGCTCCTTGCTCCCTCTCTCTTTCTCCCTCACTAACTTAGGAAGGTTAAGCAGGCATTTAGCACGCTTGCCATCATTGCTCAGACCTTTGAGTATAGGAGTTGGGGCGTCATGTTGAGGTTGTACAGGACATGGGTGAGGCCTCTTCTGGAGCACTGTGTCCAGTTCTGTTGTGGAAAGGATATTATTAAGATGGAGAGGGTTCAGAAGAGATTTACCTTGATGTTGCCAGGAATGGAGGGTTTGAGTTATAAGGAAAGGGATGGAGAGGCTGGGACTTTTTTTCACTGGAGCGTAGGAGGTTGAGAGGTAATGATGGAGGTCTATAAAGTCATAAGGGGCATGGATAAGGTAAATGGCAGATGTCTTTTCCCTAGCCTCCATCTAAGAGTTTGGGTCCAAGACAGACAGGTCAAGGAAAGGGCAAGATTATCTTCAGGCTTAGGTTTCTTTGGAATGCGTATTAATATGAAATGCAAATTCTGAGGATAATTGGAGATGTACCAGACCTTACTGTTAGATCATTAGGAATGGGTTTCTGCCTTTACTCCTGCTCAGACACACACCCCCTAAATAACCCCAGCCACACTGTGCCATTCATGCCAAGCGGGTGGATGGGATGCTCTTCGGAGGGACAGCGTGGGCTCGATGGGCCGAATGGCCCGCTTCCGCACTGCAGGGATTCTATGACTCTGTTGTGCTCCCCGGGGCCACAGAGAAGGTCTTTGTGTTGCAGTTGGTAACGGTCCCCTGCTGCTGAGCTAAAGGCACAAGTCCCGTTTGACACGCAGGGCCGAAGCAGGCCAAAGTTCAACTTGTGCCAACATGCGCCAACGGGGAGATGGCAAGGGTGGAAGAGATTCTTTGGCCAGTAAGTGACGGGAAGGAATTGGTGCCTTTCTTATCACTGTCTGTAACTCCAGGCTACAGCACGTGCGGAAAAGCTCACGTTGCTACGGCGAGTTGAATTCCTCGGACCCTGCGTTACGAGATTTGTCGCAACAGCGGAGGGTTTGATTCGCAACTCCAGACGGGTTGAATTTGGCAGGGCGGGGTGCCTCCTTGACCTTACCTGTGGCAGGTTATCGCCATGTTGTGGGTTGGGTAGGCAAGGGACCGAACGGGATTTCCCTAAAATCACAATTTTCCACATCAGTACCTGCAGACCCCTGCTCTGATTCATCCAGCTTCTCTCATCTGTCTTTTTGTGTGTTCCTGCAGAGGTCGAATGGATCCCAACGAGATTTCGAACGCCCGTTTCAATGCTGAGTGGTTTTCTCTACACCTTCGGTCAACTGCACCTGGCCGGTTTAGCGTATGGAATCCAGGACTGGCGGTGGCTTCAGTTCACAGTGTCTCTGCCTTACTTCGTTTTCTTCCTCTATTCTTGGTAAACTCACATTCCGCTGGCGCCTTTTCCAGACTGCACCATCAAACGGTCCATGTTAGGGGAAGGTTGGAAAAGATGGCCGAACTGACTCTGGCAGGATTCTGGGTAATCCAAGATGGAGGACAGGGGAGGAAATGGTGGCCGAGAGCGGTGCTCCTTTTTGTTTCTGGAGGTATTTTCAGTGTCGGAGCTGATTTCTTCGAATTCTTGGAGCAGTAATTACCGTTTTATAAGCTGCTGCATTGTTTCAGAACTTTGGAAATAAAAAGGGATCAAGCAACGGCAGTTAAAAAAGGAGAGAGAGAGAGAGAGAGAGACCAAGTGGGAGATGAAAGAAAGAAAGATCAGTGAACCTTTCACAGCTGAGTGCCTCTGCTTTTAGCTTCAAGTGTCTCCGGACTTGGGAGTTCCTTCTAAAAATAAACAGACTGTAAAATTCACAGCTGACCTCACGGAAACCTGTGCAGGGAGTTCACAGCAAGGGAAACAGCTAAGTGTTTTTTTTTAAAGTGTAGCCTTACTGTTTTTTTGTTGTGAAATCAATTATACCGAGGAGAATGGGTTTGTTTTTTGATTATATGTTTCCTTGAGGGTCTGTCTCTTCTGTAACATTTCTAAAACATAAAACAAGATGTATTGAGTTATTGTAGGGCAGCGTTTTTAGAGCAGTGGGACTGCGCTATTTTTGTAGAATCATAGAATCCCTACAGTGTGGAAACAGGCCATTTGGCCCAACAAGCTCACATCGCCCCTCTGAAGAGCATCACACCCCGACACATTCCCCTACATTTCCCATGTCTAACCCACCCTAAAATGCACATCCCTGGGCACTATGGGGCAATTTAGCGCGGCCAATCCACCCTAACCTGCACATCCCTGGGCACTATGGGACAATTTAGCACGGCCAATCCACCCTAACCTGCACATCCCTGGGCACGATGGGGCAATTTAGCACGGCCAATCCACCCTAACCTACACATCCCTGGGCACTATGGGACAATTTAGCATGGCCAATCCTCCCTAACCTGCACATCCCTGGGCACTATGGGACAATTTAGCACGGCCAATCCACCCAAACCTGCACATCCCTGGACACTATGGGACAATTTAGCACGGCCAATCCACCCTAACCTACACATCCCTGGACACTATGGGACAATTTAGCACGGCCAATCCACCCTAACCTGCACATCCCTGGACACTATGGGACAATTTAGCACGGCCAATCCACCCTAACCTGCACGTCCCTGGGCACTATGGG